CTACCACGTGCTATGTTATAAACTTCTGATATCAAAGGTCTTACTGTGAATATTTTTTTGTTATTATATAATAAAATGGCAGTATCAGAAAGACCCGTGTCACTCACTGAATATTTTCTAAGTAGCCAATGCATGATGTTACAAACTCTTACATGGTAAAAGATTCAAAGAACAAAACATAGCTCAGTGTAGAGCATCTACTTAGCATGCAAAAGACAGAGAGAGGGAAGAGACCAGACCAATGAGCTTTAATCTTGAGAACAGAACATTCATGATACGACTTCAGATAAGAGAATCTGTAATTATCTGAAATGAGCTGTGTGTGGTGCAAACCAGTAAATCTCATCATAAGGAAGAGGATCCAGAGTTCAAAGCCAGTCTGAGCTACATAGCAAGTTTGAGGATAAAAAAAGATAATTATCTGAAAAGGCAGTTAAAGTATCTGTTCCTTCTCAAATCTTCAATACTTCATGTGAAATATTTTCATATACTTCAATCAAAACAATACAATGAACTTCTTAAAGTAAAAAGCAAGGAGCCACGATTTTTTAAAAAAATGTTATTCTTTCACTAATTTTATGGTTTGGGAAAAATTATTTTTCATATAAAATATGTTATTTAGGTAACATTCAACCAATGTACTATTATTTTATCATAGTTACACAGAAAAAAATTAAAAAGTAAATTTTTGAATATGGTAAACAGCTATTGATAAAAGTGAAAGTTCTGTAGGGTCCTGAATAATTCTTTAGGGAGTGAAATGGTCCTGATATTGGAAAGTTTATGAGGCACTGCTCTGGAGAGACTTACAAAATACATCAAGATTGTATACACCTCTAATCCCAGCACTAGGGAGGCAGAAGCAGGAGGAGCTCAGCCTGGTCTACTTAGCAAGTTCCAGGCCACCCAGGGGTACACAGTAAGACCCTGTCTCAACAAAACAAAACAAAACAAAACAAACAAAACCCATTAGACTTGTGTACAAAGAAGTCACTTCCACATTGTTATAGAAATACAAATTTAGAAAGAGTTTGCTCAGTTGTTCTGAAAAGCTCTTTGAGTCATCCTTACCATGGGTCAGTCTCTGTAACTGCCCTGATTGGTATTTGACTTATGACCATACACCCAGACAGAGCAACAGTACTAAGTAACATTTCTCTGTTCAACAAGTGATATGAAGACCCCAAGATTCACTTCTAATTGGTCCCCTCCATTCTCCTCCAAGTGCTTGCCAGACTAAATTCTCAGTTTAACCCTATTTCAACCCACAGAGCTTCTAAGTGAGACATCATTTGAGCAACCAATTCCAGGCTTTGTAAAACAAGGTTGAAAAAACATGACATTAAATTTATCTAATTAATAATTAGAGTATCTACTTGTATTCTTTTGCTCCCTTCCCTTCAACAAGAGTTAAGGAGCTGAATCTATGCTTTATCAACAAATGGCAGTTCAGATCCAGCCAGTTTTGTGAAAATCAAAATAACATTAAACTCTGGGATGCAGTCACCTAGGATGAGGCCAACATTAGCCTTTCAAAATGAGAAAGCAAATGCACAGGAGACAACAGAAAAGCATCCCTATTTTCCACTAGTAAGTAGTAAAAATGTGCCCAAATCCAGGAATGGAAATGTAAAAAGTTGTGGCTCTATCAGGGTGAGTGGAAGAGCGAGTCATGGAGGAACAAAGAAATGCACGCTCCATACTTCTCAAAAGAAGCTTGGCGGCAGTGTTTTACAATTCTCAAGGATATCTTAGCAGTTCATCTTTACCTCCACCACAAACGTGTCAATAATGTGCTCTCGGGGGAGGAACCAGTGGGCTACTTCCTCTTCATCCATCACTGGAGCTAGATGAAATCTCTTCAAGTAATTGTTGATTAATTCTCGAACTGCTTTGATATCTTTTGGTTCCATTGGTCTCAATCCTGAAGTCTTTGTAACCTTGTTAGAAGGAAAACAAAGCCAGAAGTAAAATATGGGAGGATGAAATGAAAGTACTTTGTTCTCCAAGTGTGGTCCACAGTCCTGCAGTGACTGCATGTACAAGAACTTGTTAGAACTACAGAATCTTGGCTCTAGTCCTGCCTTAGTGAATCAGAGTCTGTAGTGTATTTCCCTGGTCATTCCTGTACACATTAAAGTCTGAAGTTGGGTTTGGTGGCTGGGCCTACAATCTCAGCTCCTTGGGAGGATAAGGTAGGAGGATAATCAAGATCAAGGCCCAACTGGACTAGTTCAAGGACAGCCTAGGCAACTCAGTGAGATGAGACTGTGTCTGATTTCCAACTGCATACCATGGCGCATATATGCACTCTCCACAAAAATAAATATAATTTTTTTAAGTAAGAAGGGGGGCTGGAGACATAGCTCAGTGGTCGAACACTTGCCTAGCATGTGCAAGTCCCTAGATCCAATCTTCAGTATCTGGGGTGTGTGTGTGTGGGTTACACAAAATGGACTGGAGAAATGGCTCAGCAGTTAAGAACACTGGCTGCTCTTGCAGAGGACCTGGGTTCGAGTCTCAGCACCCACATGGTGGCTAACAACTGTCTGTAACTCCAGTTCCAGGGAATCTGACACCCTCCTTCTGACCTCCATGGGCAGTGCATGACACAGGTATACTTACATACATGCAGGTAATTACACATAAAAATAAGTATTAAAAAAAAGAAATTCTGAGAAGTGCTGGGTTAAAACATAGCTAGGCAATGTGTCCTACCTTCTTATCCAAACAGAGCAGATGGAACACTACGAGCTGATTCACATACAAGAATTTAGAAGTCTAACTGCTGGGAGTGGTGACACACAGACCTATAATCTCAGCACTTGGGAGGCAGGGACAGGAGGATCAGGTGTTCAAGGTCATCTGTAGCTACAAAGGAAGCACATGAGACCCGGTCTTCATACCTCCCCAACAACAACAACAAGTTAGCAGTCTACTTGAAAATGTGGAACAATTACATGACTTCTGAGGCATTTGCTTTCAAACTGCACAATCTGACATTTTTAATTTTTAAAAAATATTTTATTATTTTATGTGTATGAGTATATTTTATGTATGTGAGTGCACCCGTGTTGTGCAATGCCTGTAGAGGACAGAAGAGGGCATTGGATTCCCCATGTGGGTGCATTAACCACTGAGCCATCTATTCCTATTTTTGTTCATGATGTCCTTTCTATGGACTGTAGAATAAAGCAAGTTCCTTAACCGTATTTTAAAATCTTCCTAGTAGTCTAGGTTGGCCTGTAGCTCCCCATCCTCCTGCCTCAACTTCCTGAGTGCTAGAATTACAGGTTGAGTCACCATACCCAGCATGACATAATCTTTGATTAAGAGGTATCAGAGTCGGCATTTTAATCACCACCCCAGAGTTCTATAACTTCAACTGAAGCCATAGGAATAAAAAGCCTACAAGCGAAAACAGGTTCCCATCATTCAAATTTGTTCAATTACTTGTCCTTAAAAAAGATCCTGATGTCATTTTGATGTTTGGCAGATGGCAGGGAGCTCAAGACTAGATATAAACAGAATAGAAATACAGCCTCCTCTATTCCAGCAATAAACTTGATGGAAACACTGGGTCAATTTTAGGAGATAAATAACAGAAATACTGCTATTGTATTTTTTCTGCTCTCAATTAAGTTATAAATTAAACAAAAGACCCCTGAGCCTGGGAGATGGCTCAGCAAGTAAACGCTCTCGTCATGCAAGCTTCATGGCCTGTGTTGGACCCTCAGAACCCAATGGCCTAAGTCTGATCCTAGAACCCACATTTTTAAAAAACTATTTTATTATTTTTATGTGTATGAGTGTATTACCTGCATGTATGTTGAGTGCATCCATGTCGTGCAATGCTGCAGAGGTCAGAAGAGGGCTTCAGATTCCCCTGGAACTGGTTCATCGGTTCGTAGCCACAATGTGGGTGCTGGGAATGGAACCCGGGTCCTCTACAAAAGCACTCAGTGCTCTTAACCACTGAGCCATCTCTCCAGCCCCCAGAACCCACATTTTAAAAAAGCCCAATACAGTGGTGTGCATCTATAACCAACTCCCAAAAGTTGTTCTCTGATCACCACATATGTACCATTCATACATATGCCCAATCACACTCATACACTAAATAAATAACAAATAAAACAACAAAAACATCATTATAATTTCTACAGGTCACAGGTAGACATCCAAGAGGGGAAACTAGTTTTATCTTGGTGGCAGCTGTGGTCAACTATTACCAAAGGGTTTCCAAGGATATGTGAAGACAGTGCTGATTGGGGGAAGGGAGGGAAGCTGGGGTGCATTCTTTACATGTGTACGCCCAAGAGTTCTGAGGTTTTTTGGTTGTTTTTTTTTTTTGTCTCTTTGAGGCAGGATCTCTCTATAGCCCCAGCTGGCATGGAACTCACTATGTAGACCAGGCTGGCCTTGAATTCAGAGATCTGCCTGCCTCTGCCTCCTGAGTACTGGGCAGAGTTCTGAGTATTTTGTAGAAGCTGTTCGATTATATAAATCATCATCTATAAAGATACAGAACCCCAGCTAAAATACCATTAAATAATCTAAATGTGAAGAACTGAAATCCCTAACATTTAATAAGCAGTGCACACTTTTAATCTTTGTGGCTTCCAAAGATGACATGTTAGAAATATCCAGTCCTACTGAGGATGTAGCTCCATGGTGAAGTGCTTGCCTAGCATGCACAAGACTCTGGGTTTAATCCCTAGTACTGCAGAAAGAAATGTTCGGTCTCAGCTGAAAATAAGTCAAATACATATGGATTTCCAAGTGCTACTTAAAAGACCAAGACTAGACTACCATCCTCAGGCCTCTTGGGGTAAGTCTATAGCTCAACTCTCGCGCCAGGACTCCCTAAGACATATTCACCCTTCCATCCCTCCCGCCGTTCTATACTCCTAGTTTGGGCCCTGCGCCATTCCTAGTCTTGGGGCCCCAGACGCCTGGGGACCCAATACTGCTCCCTGATCCTTCTCACCCAGACCAACTCAGTCCCTTTCTTGGGCTCCAGGAGCACCACTTCTGGTCCTGGCCCCGCCCTCACCTCGCTCTGCTTCCCTGGGCCTGCACCACAGGCTAACTCTCCTAGCCTGCACTACTATCCTCAGGCCTCTTGGGGGTAAGTCTATAGTGCAGCTCTCCGCGCCGGGACTCCCTAAGTCCCAATCACCCTTCCATCCCCCCCGCCCCCGCCATTCTATACCCCTAGTTTGGGCCCTGTGCCATTGTTGTCTTGGGGCCCCAGACACCTGGGGAACCAATTCTGCTTCCTGTTCCTTCTCACCCAGACCAACTCAGTGCCTTTCTTGGGCCCCAGGAGCACAGCTTCTGGTCCTGGCCCGGCCCTCACCTCCCTCTACTTCCCTGGGCCTGCACCACCGGCTAACTCTCCTAGCCTGCACTACTATCCTCAGGCCTCTTGGGGGTAAGTCTATAGTGCAGCTCTCCGCGCCGGGACTCCCTAAGTCCCAATCACCCTTCCATCCCCCCCGCCCCCGCCATTCTATACCCCTAGTTTGGGCCCTGTGCCATTGTTGTCTTGGGGCCCCAGACACCTGGGGAACCAATTCTGCTTCCTGTTCCTTCTCACCCAGACCAACTCAGTGCCTTTCTTGGGCCCCAGGAGCACAGCTTCTGGTCCTGGCCCGGCCCTCACCTCCCTCTACTTCCCTGGTCCTGGCACACCTGCCAGCCTCTTTCTGGGGCTGACAGCCTCTTTCTGGG